ATATTCTATTATTCGATAGCACTAGATCCAATTAAAATTGCTAAAATACTAAAATAACAAGAATATCAGACATTTTACATGCCTTACTCAATAGGAACAATAAATCATTATTTACTGTTGTCCAAAAGGAATGAAAAACAATAAATTTTAATGGATGTAACATCCTCTAAGTTAGTACAGAAATTGCATTACTATTGCAGTTTGTAATACATAAATAAAGTTGCATAGGTTCCTTTAATTCTCGCTTGACTCGTTAGCCGAGTGGTCGCAAGCGCGACTGCCGGGCAAGGGGTTTCTGGTTGGATTCCCGGGTCGAGCAAAGTACTAGCGGGTTTTAAAAAAAATCAGTAGTAGCACGGAGTCTGGAATTGTGCCCGGTATATGGCAATATTGGCAATAGGCTCACCCCTATTACATGGGACTCATAACATAAATAGTGTAAAGTAGGTGTTACATCGTACAGTGGCATTAAGTGCCGTAATGTGCACCTCTGCCTATCCCTTCGGGGATAAAAGGCGTGATGGAATTTTATGTATTCCCTTAATAAGGGTGCATAGATAACTTGCAGAATATTTACAATAGTATAATAAACAAGAGGTAATTTGAATCATATTTCTTGAAGAAGTAGTTATGCAGAAACATTCGTATTGATATGACCTTTATCGTTGATCACAGTTGGTGACAGTCCATTGCTGGACTTTGAGTAACTATTCTGTACTTTAAGAGGGCTTAGCCATATTCTCTACTCCACATCTAGCAGGCCAGTTGAAGATTGCAGTTTAAAAGACATTTATTAAAGCATACTCCTTTTTTTTAATGGGACAAGCCCGCCACAACTTCTTAAAACCGCTAAAACTCCTGTAAACATGGATCTACAGTAGATAAAACCATGAAATTACAGGAAATACTGATGTCGCACGCATCTCTGGGAGAGGAATATAGCTGTGATGTTCCACATCGAAATAAATCAGAAGATATTATTAGAGGAGAAAAAAATAATTTCCACTTCCTCAGTGAATTACTGCAGGAAACAGAAAGAATTAAGCCTAAAGACACAAAAAGAGACTGCACAACTGGGAGAAGCCCAGTCGCAAAGCACCACGGAAAGAAGAATAACGACTTTATATAATGAAATAACGAAAGATGTTATAAGAGAACAAAAAAAATTGTTGATGAAGCTAAAGAGGCATGTTAAAATCGTATAGTTCCATAATTTCTGCTTGCCCCCATGGGAGACAGGCGTAAAAAAATACAGCTAATCTCTATCAATTAAATATGTAATCCTTTACTTGGCTCTAACATCCTCGGCAAGAGTAGTGATGGTAAGTTCTATTATTCTCTGCATTACTACACAGCCCATAGCATAAATGACTTTATCATATTAATATGAAGGTTTCCTAATTAAGTATCTTTGTAATTGTAACTGCTTTTAAACAAGTGGGAGTGCTCAGGGCTTCTACAGATGTCTAATACTAATTGTCAAACAGTTACTGGGTGGGGAGCCCAACCTACATGTAGTAAAGTGGGCTAAGGTGATTCAGTGCATATGTGCATTATTTATATTGATTTTGTGACAAATGAATAAAATACAAGATGTGTAAGAAAGTCCAAAATTCGTAGTTGTAACTTAATTTCAAAAAAGAAAATCTCTTGGAATGTTAGGTACCTATTTCATCCTAATATAAAAGTAATCCAGATTTTGAATGTGATATTTATCATTTCCAAGAATATGCAAAGTATTTTTTACTACTGTATCTCCTGATTATGAAAAATCCACAAAACTTTTTCATACAAAAGTATTCTCTAAACATCGGAAATAAGGTCTGTAAAGGAGTAAGTAGAGAGCGGTAACCGGTGACCACTTGGGAGATTGATCAGTTAAGTTGGTTTTCTACAAAACTATTTTAAAATTGTTGGTCTTAATAGCCTTTACTATCTAATCACCCACAACACCGGAGAAAATCCTAGTGTGGGACAACATCTTAAAAAAAGTATCTGTTGAATGAAATCAATTTTATACAAATACCCTTATAACCTAGTACTTAAGAGACATTTCATGCAGATATTATGACAAATATATATTTGAAATTGCCATGGTCTTTGGAACATGCAATTAAACCCATATGGGTGGAGGGAGCAAGTACATACTGCACCTAATACCACACACAACATACAATAAACTAAGTTATGTTACTCATTCACAGATATGCAATAGACACAGGGAAAGTGTTACAAGGCGCTGCAGTATAGAAAGTGATAGATTAGTAGGTAATTAAACATGACTGGCCAGTTGATGTAAGCAATATGGCTTCTACAAACATAAAATAATAACATAACATAATGTTATGTGTTACACCAATGGGTAGACAGATGTGCACATACTAGCCATAACTAATTCTGTACTCTGTTCTGAAAAAAGACACTAAATACCTGGTGGATTCAAAAGGAATTTATGTAGGAACTAAGAACCTCCTTCATGGTGTATCAATGAAGTGAGAGAGTGTTAGAATAATTCTTTACTAGACTATTTAAAAAAGAAACAGACTTCAACCCCTTTTTTATTGAAGCCTTTGACTGCCGACAGAAAACTGTTGAGGGTAAATCCTCCGCTATCGTGGCCCATACCTTGTCCCCCATGGTGTTCAAGGTGTTAATAAATAAACTAAAGCCTTCATGTGAAATAGACTTTTCTGAAAACTACGTCACAAACATACATACATAGATACAAACATACATTCAGGGCAAATGGCGAACCTCCTTTTTAGAAGTCGGTAGAAAAATGTAGAAATATATAATGTAGGTGATTTGCACTTGAAGTGCATAATGACTAGCTAAGGGACAGCATATACCAGAGACTCAGCAGTAGCTCTCTGTGTGTGACACTCCCCCTTCAAATAGTAGTTATCTTCAACCTATTGGCCAAGTGGAGGTTTATAGCAAACATTCACTTAACCTTTTGTAAATGAGGCCCATAGTCTAGAAGAGAACACAAGCTGTTTGCAAATGATAAGTATAATAGGAACTGCCTTAGTTTCTCAGTGAAGAGTAGAATAGAAAGAAACACATTGAACTGAGATAACTATTAAGCATTTGTAAGACAAATCATTATAAATAAATAAAAATAATATCCTTCATACATATCAATATAGTTATGAAACAAAATGAACTTACTTCAAGCCATAGAATAACATTACAATATGTACATTGACAATAGAAACTACTAGGATTTGAATGAGAAAGCTTAGAAAATAGAAAGAGGTCTAAGAAACTAATAAGGTTATTTTTATATCAATGATTGCATCTTATGAACATTATACATACTTGTATTATCCACAATGCAATATCATGTATAAAGCCAGTTGTATTAAACAATACAAGCCCAGCAATGTTATTCTTATTGTTTTAAATACAAGCATGATTATACACATATAACATGTAGGTAAATGCTTGTAAGCAATAAAATGTACATTGAAAAGGCCATGATAGAAAGGAAATCGGATGCAAAGAGGTTTTAGCACAACCGTAAATGACGTATTAGGCATCATACGAAAGTTCCTTTGCCTGCATATGCAGCTGTTTTACATCTGTTACATGCACCACTTTTTCTAACAGTTTTAACATAACAGCAAAAAAACTATGTCAAGAGGATAACAATCAAGTATAACTGCATTTTTAAACAAAACTCACTGAACAGTAACTGCTTGTTCAACTGGAACAAGTTATTTACATAAAATAATACCCCATACGACAGGCGTACCCACTTTCTAACATGAAAAAAAAACGTAATAAAATAGCGGGAATTTGCTATACGTCAAACGGTTCTGTGCAATCTTCGCCAGAAAAAGTAAAAGTGAATATGCACATGACAAAGGAATCGAGATTTTGCAACCTAAACAAGGGCAGATGAAAACATGTTTTTTTACAATACCCCACAAGCTAACACTTTCAACGTACCTTCACAGATTCACAGACACACTTCATGGCACTGTATTTAACACTAAATAATCATAAAATAAACGATTTAAATAAAATAAATTGTTCAATTACGACTGATTTCTTTGCTTGACAATACACAGGTAAGTACACATCTGTACCTGACAATTGACTGACAGGTATTTTTATAATACTACAAAATAAGCTTCACTATAAAATCTATAGAAATGATACAGCACTATGAAGGCATAATATTTGATCGGATTATACTTACGTAGCAATCGTTTTCACGCTGTCATCGACCACATTTCACTTGAAATTATCGCGACACAATGTAACGTACCGTTGTACACTTTTCAGATCACAATTTGATTTACAAAATTCAATACAGAAAATAATTGGCCCTCGTTAAATTAACCATTTCTTTCTCGCACTTTTATTGAAAAGAAACAACAAGGAGGAAGAGAGAACAAAACCTTTTTTATTTTTGACTTGAAACAGTAGAGATGGCGCTTTGGTATTCGTCTTATGGATGCGTTCAGTGTGTGGTCAAATTCAAAATAGTTATTGCAAGTCGTCTTTAAAATATTCTATTTATTTAATATTTAATATTCTATTTATTTAATGTAATATTATAAGTATTTTATTGGTATATGTATGTGGGCGATTGGCTGCTCTTATGTTGTAAAATTAATATTCTGCAAAATATTTAGATATTGTTATTTGATGAAGTTGGTCGAAAACTACGGTTATAATGTTACATTACAATGTTTTTCAAAAAGTTTTATTTTGATTTGATTATTAAAAATCAATAAACCCGTGTGTTAAACATACCCATAAAGAAACGATGCAAAAATGATCGTCTATGGTTAAAACTTGGAAGGACGAATTTGACTTGCTTGACTTGAAGTATTGAGATGTCAAATTCTGTTTAGGAAGTTGCTACTTGCGATTCTATTTTACAAAGTTTATCATTCAATAAGCTTTATTGAGAACAGGAAACAATTATTAGTGAACTTTAAACTAATATTGGCGGCTGCACATAGAGAAAGAACAAAGTTTTAACCATGTGTTATGTTATAGTTACGGGTAGAAGTTTAGCATGGCTTTTGTTAAGTCTTGCAGCTTTTATGTTGATATTGACTGGTATAATGACTCCTAAATGGTTAATGGGTCAGCCTGTGGTCCTCAATGATAATAATATTACAAAGTTTTATGCCCGAGCGTCGGTATTTACAATAGGTGAGTTGAAAAAATTTATTAACAAAAAATAAATAACTTTTAGCAACATTATATTTCAAATAATATTTAAATAATAATTTTCAAAGTTACACATAATGATATACCTATCTAAGAAGATTAACTTAATTGAAACCTTTCTTTTTGTAAATAACTAACTTTACCTCTGGTATATCGGAGCGTACCTACGTACGCGAGACTATGCGTTTCCTACTGTGTCTTAAATACCGACATACAAGGGTTTATCTACTGCATTTCAATATTTTGTTTAGGTACTAATATTTATTTTTAAGTTCAATACAACTAACAAGTGTCATGGACAAAAGTCACAAGTACCCATGTGACCAAAATCACAAGTCCAAATCATAATGACTTTCTTTAAATATTTAAACATGACATAATCATGGTGAAGGTAAATATTGTGGGTAATTTTAAATTTATAATTTCTAAATCATTAGTTTGAAATCACCAATCCGCCTTGAACAAGCGTGGTGATTATGCTCGCTACTTCAAATGAGAAGAAGCCTTTGCTCAGCCGTGGGATATTTGCAGGCTGTTGATGATGAAGAAGGTGATGACTAACGAGAATCTGGAAATCTAAAATAAATGTTTCAAGACAAACATATTATTTTTAGATGTATCCGCATGAGAAATGATCATAACAACTGCGCATCATTCTCGTTCTATGGACTTGCTACTGATGCTGAAGTATACCCGACTCCATGGAAGGCATCTATGTTCTTTTTATCTCTATGTAAGTATGAATATAATATACCTACGAACCTAACTTTTTTTTATCCCTGAGGACGTAGGCAAGTTTATATATCACCTGATAGGAAGTCAATATTAAACGCATATTTGTTATATCAAAAGTATTATTAGTAATTGGGCCTCCAGTAACCTCAGTCACATTATGAAACACAAGGCAAGCATTGTTTCACACTGGTATTCTATGAAGTGTGTGTGTTTGAGTGCATGATTGGCACGGTGGTTGGGCAACTGGCTGCCGTGCCATGTGTAGAGGGTTCGATTCTCGCACGAAACAATTCTTTGTGTGATCGACAGATTGTTGTTCCAGGTCTGGGTGTCATGTGTATGTGAACTTTTATATTTGTAAACATATCCACGGTACAGGAGAAAATTTTATTGTGGGGCAATGTTTTTTCTAAAAACAAAACAAAAAAAGAAGTGTTATAAATTTAGGGAATTACAATATTCTACGGAATGTTATTTCTCATCTTGTACCTATTTTTGTAAAGTTTTCCTAATGGTTTGATTTATTGTCTTTGTATTCATGTACCTAAATTAAGATCTTCCTGTAAACAAGTCCTCAGGAAATCCATTCATTAATTCTCTGAGGATATTTATAATGTAGTGTGTACGGTCAGCCATCTTAATTAGTATGCAGGTGCACAGACAGTAACTATTGGTTAGCTATTAGTATAATAAAAATAGCTACTGTCTATACTGAATTGGTTTTTATTTTCACAAGCTGCATACAAAATAAGTTGGGTGACGGTTTTTAGGTATTTTTAATTTATGCTGTCCTCTGTGGGCGTAATTAAATGACTAATATAGAATGAATGCTTGCGGAATAAATAAGTGCCTTAGGTATTGTTTTTTATATTAATTAGGCCAATGTTTGGCCACTATCTCGCCCGATGGTAAGCGATGATGCGGCCTACGATGGAGCATGTCTGCCCATAAGCAAGCTATTCACTCGGGCCTTGAAGACACCCAGGCTATTCCTTCAAGAAACACAGACTCTGGCAAAGAATTCCACTCCTTAGCAGTACGCACAAGGTAGCTTGATGCGAAGCGCTTCGTGCGTGTGTATGGGATATCTACCACGAATCGGTGACGCTTCGCCAATTGTATTGTATAGTTAATTGTTTTGTGATAGTCAGTCAAGTAAAATGGCTCAGATTTATTCCCAAATTGGGTACAACGATGAAATAGTATTTATTTTTATAATAACTATCGTGAGACATACTAAATTAACTAAAATCGCGGATTACTCACATGAATATACTGAGAAAAGCTGTACTAGTTTCGAACCACAGAGGGGTTCTTCCTCATGAACAGCGTGCGCGGTCGCGGCGACGTCGTCAGTGAGCTGCGCGATTTAAACTGTCAAACACCGCGAGGACACCGGTGACCGCAACCTATTTCTTTAACCTAGTTCTTTAATTGTGTCTATAATGACGGTAGTCAAAGGGTTAAGTTAAAATAGTATTTGGTTGGGGTGGGAGATATGGCCTCGTGAAGCAAGAAGTCATAATTTAAGTAGTGTGTAACGCCCATATTATGTGGCACTTGTAGTATCTCCCCCCCCCCCCCCCAGGAAGAAAAGCATAACTCTGTGTATGTAATAATGTAATATTATACATATTTGCAGGTGCAGCCATACAATTCGCAACAGTTTTAGCCGGTGTCATGGCCTGTTGTGTCCAATCTGTGTTCAAGAAAAGTGTTATTTCATTGGCCGGAGCCACTCAAGCTCTGGGAGGTGTGTAAACTTGTTATTAACCTGTTGAAATTTATCCCCTAAATTTGTTCATACAAAAGTAGTCTCTAGGCATTGGAAATAAAGTCTACAATGTGGTTAGTGGAGAGTGGTCACTGGTGACCATTTGGGGATGGATGAATGGGTTAAGTGATTTACTCAAGCTAAAATTAATTGTGGAAAGACTCAATATTATTTCCACTATTTTCCTTATGATGTATTCCGTATGATGATGATCCTACTCCCCCCCCCCCCCTCCTCAGTCTTCCGAATCCACGAATCCTCCACAATCCTCAAATTCCCAATTCCCAAAAGGCCGGTAATGCACTTGTAGCGCCTTGGTGTTCCAGGTGTCCATGGGCGACGGCGATTGCTTAACATCAGGTGATCTGTCTGCTCGTTTACCGGCTTGTGCCATAAAAAAATATAAACAGAAGTACATTTGGAAAATCTTTAGTTTTTATTCCACTGTTCAAATGTATTGTCGGTTTGCCTTTTTTTAAATATTGTCCCTTATTAGTATTTTATCCTGTGCTATAAGTGTGTTTATAAACATACAATTACTTATACACATCACACACAGACTTGAAACAATAATCTTTGGTACACAAAAACAATTGTTCAGTATGACAATTGTCATAAATAAATCAAAAGTTAGAAAGCTAATCAGCAGCTGTAGCCAAATGCCATTTAGCGCTTGTCTACTTGTAGAAAAGCAAACCAAATTATATGGAATTGACGTAAATTTTGACACTTGTAACTCTTGTCAGTGTCATTTAGTTTTCTACTCTATCTGTAGACAAGCGCTAAAGTGGTGTTTGGCTAAAGACACAGTTCCGTTTCGTTCTTATTATTTCTTTTATCTCCAAACAAAGTTGTTTTAGAACTGTGTATGTAGATTAATTTTAATGAATGTTTTTATTTTCACTATTTCAGGTCTCTTTGGAGTACTAGGTCTGCTCCTCTACCCCTGGGGGTGGGGTGCTACCCGAGTGAAGAGGCTCTGTGGTGAAAACTCAGAACCTTACATACCTGGCGACTGTTCTATTGGTAAGCAAAACGGTGTCATCATCATATCAGCCAGAATAAGCCACTTGTTTTAAGGACGGACAGGAGAAGGATTCGATGGAATGACTCCTGTCTTCAAAAAGCCGCTAAGGCCTCCGCAATGACTTCCAGATTGGTTTAACGTAAAAGCGACTAATATCCCGTACCTCGCTTTTTGGGGGGGGGGGGGGGTAAATGAACCAATGGCGTCTCCCGTCTTGGGCGAAGCGAAAGGGAGTGTCAGACTTGTCAGACTCTTACTAACTAAAAACCACCCAGTTCTTACTCTTAGTTCGAGCCGGAGCCCGCATAATTCGGAATGTCGTCCGCACCCTAGGTCGCCCAGTGGCTTGCTGCAACCTTTACACCATCTTACTATTAACTGGATAAAAATATGAGTGGTACAGTTCAAAATGGGACGTCTGGTCTTCATTTCTCTTTGTTAAAATATTTTTTTATATCATTCTTTGTTTCAAGATGTCGTCGCCGCGTCATAAACAAGCCATGAACTACATATGTAGGTCATCTATTTACGTGTTATCACTTATACAGTTTAGTCATATTAATATACCTATATTTTTCCTCAATGACTGACGCTGCAGAACATAGCTAAGACATTGTTTTTTTTAAATTTTTTATATGATATATAAAATTACATATTTATGGGATAAGTCAACAACCGATCAAACGTATCTACTGATGGTAAGCAATCGGCGTCGCCTTTGGACATCCGGAACACCAGAGGTGTTACAAATGCGTTACCGGCCTTTTAGGGATTAGACATTTGAGGATTGTTAGGGATTCAGGGGTTGGGGATATTCGGGAGGGAGGTAATTCGGCCTTCGGTAACCTCATACGACGAATTATAACGCCAGGATTGTTTCACGTCGGTTCTCTATGAGTCCGTGTTTTTACTCCGGACGAGCCGGCTCATTCGTGCCGAAGCATGGCTCTCCCACATTGTGCCATATTTGTGTCCTACTACTTCATGTTTTTTTTTTGAGGAAAGCAATTCATCCAGTGACTTCTCCCGCCCGGGTGAGTCGAGAGGGAGTGTCAGACTTTTACTGACTAAAAACCACCCCGTTTCTACTCCTGCATTACGTACGTACGGCGCTCAAAGAGCCATCAGACCACCACAGATGGAGCCCAATAGGGCTGATGCCGATACGGAGTCGCGGAGAACCTAACGGATCATCGGGGCTCCGGCTCGAAGTGCAGGAGTAGGAACGGCGTGGTTTTTAGTTAGTAAGAGTCTGACACTCCCTCCCGCCTCGCCCAGGCGGGAGCTGTCATTCGATGATTCCCCCCCCCCCCCCCAAACTATAAACCACCCCGTTCCTACTCCAGCATTTAGCCGGCTCATGGTAACTCGATAGGCGATCTGGATCTCCGGACTATTTGTCGACTTAGTTACTGCCAATACTATTTAAGTTTGCTAATCCAAATACCTTTATAATATTTTAATATATTTTTTACACAAATTTCAGGTTGGGCTCTCTTTGTGACAGCTACAGGTGTCGCTCAAATATTCCTCGCGAGCGCTCTCTCTAAAACAGCAGACAAGGCAGCTAACTCCGATAAGGTCCAATTCCAAATGGATGAAGGCAAACAATTGATATGTTTAGCTTGATAACCCAACTTTAAGTCCAGGTAATAAGGTACAATTTTATTAGTAGTTGTAATCTTTGATATACGATTTTGCTGCTTATTGGCAGTATGTACTGCTTGCTATTTTTCTTATGAATGATTGACTGATTTGTATTATAATGAATCTCGAATTTCATCCGTCTACTAAATGCTATTTTATCCCAACACCATGGTAATGACCACTATGTATAACAGAGGGCCAAGCACGTATAACTATCGCATTCGTATCGTAACAGTATCGAGCGAGTTAAGCGTTCTGATTGGTTGGTTCACTTGAGCCGGCCAATCAGAGCGCCGAACGCGCTCGATACTATTACGTTACGAATGCGATAGTTATTCGTGCTTGGCACTCCGATTACTATTTGTCGGTTGCGCAAGCGCATTTATAGTTTGCGTGTGCGCAACCTGTGCCAAGCCAAACTCCACTTTAGCGCTTGTCTACAGAGAGAGTAGAAATCAAAATGTATGGGGATGACACTGAGAAGTGTCAAAATTTACGTCAATTCCATATAGTTTGGTTTTCTATTCTACATGTAGACAAGCGCTAAATGGCATTTGGCTACAGCTGCTGATTGTATAACCATGGTGTCCTAATCATAAAGGATAGGGCTTAGTCATTGGGCATTTTCAGACTCACATAGTATTCTAAAATCATTACATAGATACTTTTTTGACGTCTTTTGATTGCAAAATAAACAGTGATTAAAATAAGAAAATAATTATCGTTTTGTAACATATCTTTATACGCACAATAGATATTTCCGATTGTCATTATACAATAGTTCATTATTAACTAAAAATCGCGGGTTACTCACGTGAACATACTGAGAAAAGCTCTACTAGTTTCGAACCATAGAGGGGTTCTTCCTCATGAACAGTGTGCGCGACATCGCCGCGACCGCGAAACTAGTAGAGCTTTTCTCAGTATATTCACGTGAGTAACCCGCGATTTTTAGTTAATTTACTATGTCTCACGATAGTTATTATAAAAACAATAGTTCATTTTATTATACTTAAGTTTTTTTACATTATGGCGTTAAATTCACACATTCGAATTATTTAAGTTAAAATCGACAGACTGAGAATGTAAATTCCGACCATTTTAATTGTATCTTTTAGTTTTATTCAGTGAATGAACAAACTTCCAGTTTTTTGACAATATAATAAAATATGTGTATTATGTAGGTATTAACCCCTCGAGCGTCCTTATGAGCACCCGGTGGTTGATAAGAAAAAATGCTCCATGCTGCTTTCTCTTTTATAAAATCTATTATTAATGTTTTGTTTTTATTTTGACTGTATTTGTTTTATTTCTATTGTAATGATTCTTGTTTTCGTGTGCCAATGGCCAAATAAATGCATTTTCTTGCATGCATAAGGATAAGGAAATGCATACGGAATGCGGACGCTCGACGGGTTAAAGGAAATTTTATTCAGATAGAAAGAATAGAATAGAAATGACGATGAGTTATAAAAAACTAAATTCCTTTACTTCTGTCAGCTAGACAGCAAAACATTTCTGCTAAAAACTACTAACAGTTTGGCAAAAAAGAGTTTGACGCATTGACAGCCGGAACTAATGCTGCAGCTGGTCTATTTGTACTGAATCACCCACCTCGGACTCATATCCCATGAATAAACAAGCTTCCGAACATACTACCTCCTCATATTAAATTTGAAGAAAGCAAAAGCATTTATTCGACAGTAGGCACGCACACAGATACAAAAAAAAACAAATACATCTTTATATATATAATTCTTATGTGAGTGTGTATGTCACTGAACTTCTCTCAAACGACTGGGCCGATTTTGATGAAATTGTTTGTGTGTGTTCAAGGGGATCTGGGAATGGTTTAGATTCACAAATCAGCCCGGCAGATGGCGCTGCTGTCGATGTTTAGGTTATTTATCCTAAACAGCTGAACTAATTTGAATGAATTTTTGTTTATACATTCAAGTGGATATGCAGGACAACGAGGGTAGACGACTAATTTTTATTTTAATGTCCGTCTGATAGATTATTTAAAAACATTAGACGCGTATTTTTTATTTTCTCACAGAAACGAATAGTTTCGAAGATATATTGATTTGAAATGTCGCGTGACGTCACTTCTCAGTACATTTTATACTAAGAAATGACGTTTTAGCCCCCACTCCTAAACTTTGTTTCGTTTTATCTAAGTATTGTTTTATTATACGACAAAATAAAAAAATACGTGTCTAATATTTTTTCATTACCTAACTTACGGACTAATTATATTTTTAATTTTCATACCCTGTCGACTAAAACAATTTCTAAAACAATTTCTAAAAATCAATCCCTTTCTTTTTAAGTAAAAATATTATCATATTACAATTAGCTTAATAGAAAAGGCAAATTAGGAATTTCTTAAATTTGTTAGAAAAGCTTAGCTTCATTAGGAAGCTCTTACCCAAGATATCCTGGTTGGTAGTCCTGGAAGAGGTGACGGTGAACCGGATGACGTAGATGCCTTTGAAGCAGGCAGGGACAGCGTGCATGTAGCCACGAGCATTCAGGCGTTTCAGGAGCCTCTCAGTTAAGGCGTTGTCGCCCTTCAGGCGGAAGGCTACCATTCCTGTAAAATATAAAGTCCATTGGTGTGATACTACCAAATTCTCTATTTATTGGATGAAGAATGATATGTTCACACTAGCTCTTTCTGGTCAGCCAATATACGGTACGTCCCATTATTCCAAACTTTTTTTTGCCAAGCTGTAAAGTGTTGCCAGACTACAATTTGTTGTGACGTTTTAATAATCTACATACTCTATTATTAACAAGTTATATTATTTTATTATACTCGATATCATTATTAGGTATGTATTATGAAAAAGTATATTTTCATATTATTGTAGTCTTATTGTTAGTCACAAATAAAATCAAAGATGTATGTGTATGTGTGTAGTAAATACTCATTATTGTATTTGTCTTAGTAACTTTTTTAGGGTGGAAACATTTATTTATGGTTTTACTAGCTTTTACTCGCGTCTTCGCTCGCGTCACAAAAGGATAAAAGTAGCCTATGTGACATATACCAATACACACAGCGCCATCTATACCAATACTTTTGTTTTTCCTCGGGAATATCAATTTTTTCCGGGATAAAAAGTACCCTATTATTTAATCCGGACTTCTAACTTTACGTCTGCAAAAATTCAAAGCAATCGGTTTAGAAGTTACGGCGTGAAGGTGGAACAAACAAACAAACAAACTTACTTTCTCATTTATAATAGTACGGATAACAGTAAGGCTAAAGACTGACCGTGCGCTTTTCTCCCGCGGTTACGGGCCGGCTTTGTAGAATACCGATTGTATGTAAAAAACCAACGCCATAGGGTAGATGACTAATTTTTATTCTAATGTCCATATGATAGTTTATTTAAAAACATTAGACACGTATTTTTTATTTTCTTACCGAAACGAATAGTTTCGAAGATATATTGATTTGAAATATCGCGTGACGTCACTTCTATGTACATTTTATACGTAGAAATGACGTTTTAGCAACCACTCCTAAACTTAGATTCGTTTTATCTAAGTATTGTTTTCTTATACGACAAAATAAAAAAATACGTGTCTAATATTTTTTCATTACCTAACTTCGGACTAATTAGATTTTGAATTTTCATACCTTGTCATCATTAAGTGCCGTAATGTGAACCTCTGCCTACCCCTTCGGGGGTAAAAGGCGTGATGTTATGTAATAAAATGATACTTAGACGTAACGAATCAAAGTTTAGGAGTGGGGGCTAAAACGTCATTCCTACGTATAAAATGTACATAGAAGTGACGTCACGCGATATTTCAAATCAATATATCGTCGAAAGTATCTGTGTCCGTAACAAAATACGTGTCTAATGATTTAAAATAATCTACCAGACGGACATTAAAATAAAAATTAATCATATACCCTATTTATCCTATTTATATAAATGTTCAATTTATTGTCATGGGTATTATTATGAAAAGTTTGAACATTTCGACCGGCTGCGGATTTTGACTCAGCCGTATTCATTTCGGCTAGTCGTCCAGCCGTGACTTTCATGCACACACCGCTTACCGCTGACACCGAACTCGTGATTGAGCCGTTATATCGTATTTATCACTTTAGTTAACTCGAGACTGCCTCGTTGGCAGAGTGGTCGCAATTGCGACTGCCGGGCATTCCCGGGTCAGGCGAAATAATACTGGGGTGTTAAAAAAAAATCTCAGTAGTAGCACGGAGTCTGGAACTGTGCCCGGTACAAATATGCGTGTGCATGTATGTATAAGTGGTGGCAGTGGACTTTTGACCTTTGACCGTACTTACACAAACTCACGCCTTTGTCCCATGGGGTAAGCAGGAATCACAGAGCGCAACTATACGCCTAAACCTTGTATACTTCTTTAATATGAATAATATATGGAAACCTCCAGTTTGTATGTAACAACCAAAAATAACTGTTTTCACCTAAATATATTAATTATTTACTTATTTAAATAGAAAATATTATATTTGTCATAATAATTTAGCATCACAAATTATAATTATAATGATTTACTTATAATTATACTTATACTTATAATTATTTATTTAATTATAATTATTATAATTATAATCATAATTATAATTTATTTCATAAGGTTTATAAGTGCCATGAGAACCGATTTTGGCTTTAATTTTAAAAGTGTATTCCTATATACATTCTTGATTTTTAATTAATATAATTGCAAATGTTCCAATAAGGGATCGGACTTTTCTTCAAAAACTCTTAATTTAATCTTTATGGTTATTTATACCCGTTAACACGTTAAACGCCATGGGGGTCACCGGTGATCGGCGTTAGCGGAGGATTTACCTTCAACAGTTTTTTATTGGCAGTCAGTCTTAAAATATTATTTTTTTCGTTACTGCATTATTATATTAAAACGAAACGTGTTTAAAAATATGTATTTTACAATTGCCGCGAAACGTAAACGTA